TATTACATGATAATTCTGATGGTTGCATTATACTACATTCATTATATATGTCTTCTCTCTGTTTACTTTTTCTCATTATTTTACTCCTTAAGTTGGATTTAAAAATAAACTAATTCATAATAAAAGTATTTATGTATTAAAGATGTAATTTTATTTTTTTAAATTATATATTTTGTTATTACTATTAGGATAAATTATTTTATAGAATAAATATATATATATTACACAATAATTAACCTTATGTAATACAATTATAAAAATTGATAATATTATTAATAGAACAAATGTACTTAAGATAAGTTTGATTGAACTAAATGTTTGGAAAGAAGGTAAAAACTTCGGTGTACCATCTGTGCAATTTGTATTTATCATTTGTTCATTATATTGACTTCTAACTTTTTCTAGCTCATTACAAAAATCGTTGTTATTTTTATGTTTACATTCTTCCACATGCTGCATATATAAATTAGAACATTTCTTGGCGCATAGACATCTATTTACATCACATGTTCCATTATCCATATTTTTAAGTTCTGTATACATGTCATATATATGCTTAAGTTTATTGAGTACATCTTCGTTAATAAATATGTTCATACAGTCCTTAAAATATTCATCCTCATTATTGTTGTACTTATCTAGAATGGATTTATATACTTCTTGGATGTCATATTTCTTTTCCTTCAGACTGTCATGAAATAACCAATAACACATGTATATACAAGCTGCTCTTTTTAGGTTATAATCATGAAATGAATAACGTTCTATATCCTTTAAAAAATATAAAGATTTGGGACATTCTTTGTTAAATTCAGATTTAATATCATCTTCAATTCCCTTTATTCCTTCGCACAATGAGTTGTATATTTCTGAATCTTCGTCTTTAATTGTTGTCATGGTATCTTTCCATTTGTGAAATTGATGTACGTGTGCATACTAAAAATAATAAAAAAAAAGTAATGAAGCCACAATTATATTCATATATTTTTTTTACAATATCTCTTGTAAATATAATTATAAATATTATAATTTTTCAATTTATCTTATAATATTTCAAAAGTACAATGTTATTAGCCATCTTAGACAATATTACATTAATTTACATATAAATGGCTTAATATAAAAGCACTCTTTAACATAAAAATGCATATTTAAAAAACTAAAGAGATAACGTATTAAAAATAATTAAACGCATCCTTTTTTATTATAACTGTATAATTCATTTAAATATAACATGGAAAACACCATAAAATTTGTATAGTGTATAGTACTCATTTGTAATTTACAAAAAAAAAGAAATATCGATTACTAATATAATAATATAAAGATTAATTCATGTATGAAAATTACATAATTTTAGGGATGTACGATATAATATAAAAATACATATAATACGATTATATCCTATTAATATAAATATAAAAATAATTCATAATATTTTCTTCTTTATAACACATTACATAATAGTACATATAATGTAATTTAATAAAAATTAAGGTTTTAAAATAAATAGGACATATCTTTAATTATTCACGTATTATGTATAACAGTATTAAGGTACAGGGTTCTGTAGTTGGTGCTTCAATTTCTGTTAAATTATCAATGGTATATATAATATTATTTAAGGAACTCATATTTATATATAATTTCTTGTGTCTGGTAATTATATATAGTTTATTGTGCTTAAATTTATTATTTTATTTTAAAAATATATAATGATATTAATTAATATGAAGTCTAAAATTATATTATTTCTTAAAAAGTACAAATATCTTTTATAATGCATTTAATATTATTATGATATATATTACGTTTAATTCCATAAATAATATTAGTTATAAAATGTATTTTAAATACTTTTTTATCAAATATTCATATTAATATACTTACATTTTACATTAAATATAAAATATTAATAATTTTTATACACACTTAAAAGCGTTGTACTTATAAATCTTTGATAATATAATTTTTAAAAGAATACTTATATATATTAGCTTTTTCTTTATATAAAGTATCTTAAATTTTCTCATATTATTTATAGATTATGTTTTTTTAATATGCTAAATAAAACATTATATCCACTATTTATTTATAAATAATGCGAGAAAAAAATTAAATTATCTATTGATTTACATAAATAGAATTTCTGTTTTTCTTTTGTAACATTTTTATATGATTTCATAAAGTAAAAAGAAAAATTCCATATTTGTGCTTTTTTATCAATTAACACAAATATTTATTAAATATATATTAACCATAGATGGTGAACTATGTATATAGGGAATTTATCGTAATTTTCATGATTGTAATATTTTATAAAGATATTTTTATTAGAATAACATATATATTCTTCAAGTAATTAAATGTTAATTTAATTATTTTAAAGCACATATGCATATTTATATCGTTACATAAAGCATGATTTATGTTATAAAATATATATTGCTCAATTTATATAGAGATTTAATTTAAAGAATAATTTAGTGATGAAATATTATTTCTTTAGTTAAATGAGATTGATGTAATACTAATTAGATAGTAAAATAAATGGATATCGTAAATTTTTATGAATAAATATCTTTTACGTATATAAAAGTAACGTATCTACTTCTATTTATATGAATAAATATATAACTGTTAATTATTTTAAAATATTATTTATGTATATATTATAGAAAATATTTTCATTTATATTACCCAGGGCATCTTGTATATATAATATAATACCAAAGATTTATAATAATAATTTATGAAGATACTTAGGTAAATGCATTATACCACCTTTATTCTATATGTTGAATAGAATGATGTTAGCTTTGAATAAAACTAGAAATTAATTAATAATATATATATTGCTATATTCTCTAATAAAACATGATTAGTTTAAATAATGTACTCTTCTATATATATCAAACCCTTTATAGTGTATATTTTATAATTAAATTTGTGAGTCTAGTATTCTATAATACATAATTAATACATGAATTTTACGTAAACAAATTTTATCATATCTTATTGTTATTAATTATATAAAATTAAGAGTGCTGTTTTATTATAAATATATATAAACAAGGAAATAACATTAAAATAACATATTTACTAGCGAATTAATCATCTGATGGTATTTATTGTACGCTAAGGTTTATTTTAATAAAAATAATATATTAGTTTGAATACTCTTTATATATTCATTTTTTCTTTTATTTCTTCGTAAATAAAGTGTTATTTTAGACACCAAATTCTACCATTCGTTTTTGAACAAATACGGAATATTACATAATAACATAGATCGTTTGTTTCTGTAAATAATATGA